TTTACACAATAAATCTAAAAATTTTTTAAATGTGTGATCTCACCTTTCAAAGATAAGAACAATGATAACATTTTGTCATATACACTTCTAATGATTTTTATATTTTCAAAACCATGGTTAAAAATACATAATAAATTTTCTCTTGATTTTTTAACCATATAGTACACTACTTTTAACTATGTGCACTCTGTTGTACAACGTATCTCTAGAACTTTTTCTTTTTCTTTTTTATTTTTGGTACTGGGGTCACTTAACCAGTGAGCCACATCCCCCTTTTTTTACTTTTTAATTTTGAGACAGGGCTTCACTAAGTTGCTGAGTCTGTCTTTGAACTTGCAATCCTCCTGCCTCGGCCTCTGTAGGCTCTGGGATTACAGGCATGCACCAACACACCCAGACTAGAACTTTTTCATCTTGCAACTCTATACTCACTGACCAGCCACCCCTTGTTTCTACCTTCCTGTAGGCCTTAGCAACCACCACTCTGCTTTGTTTTATGAGTCTGACTTTTTTAGCTATGTCATATCAGTAGAATCAGGTAGCATTTCTTTTTTTGTGATTGTCTTACTTCACTTAACATATTAATGTCCTCAAGGTTCAACCATGATGTAGCCTAATAGTAATTCCTTCTTTTTTAAAGCTGAATAATATTCCACTATGCATTCTTTTCTTTATCCATTCTTAGGTGATGGACATTTAGGTTCCTTCCATATTTTGGTTACTGTGACTAATGCTTCAATGAATATGGGGCTGCAGACATCTCTTCCAGATGCTGTTTTCAATCCTTTTGTGAAACTTACTCAAAAGTGGGATCACTGAATCACATACTACTGTTTTTAATATTTTGAATGATTTCTACACTTTTTATAATAGCTGCACCATTTTACAATCCCACCAACAATGCAAGGGTTCCAGTTTTTCACATCTTTCCTAACTTTTCTTATTTTCTGGGGTTTTTGTTTGTTTAATAGTGGTTATCCTAACAGGTGTGAAATGATATCTCACTGGGGTTTTGATCTACATTTCCTTGAATGATTAGTGATGCTGAGCATCTTTTCATGTAATTGTTGGTCATCTGAGTATTTTCTGGGGAGAAATGTTTATTCAAATCCATTGCCCATATTTTAATTGAGCTGTTTGTTATTATTAAGTTGTAGGAGTTCCTACATATTCAGGATATTAACCCCTTATCTGATAAATGGTTTACAAATATATTCTCCCATTCTGGAGGATAACTGTTTCTGATAACTGTTTTCATTCTGATAACTGTTTCCTCTGCTGAGCAAAAGGTTTTCAGTTTGATGTGGTCCATGAAATAAATACTTACCCTCAATATATGCATTACTCTTTATTTCTTATTTACTTTATTTCATTTTTTAAATTTAAAATTCTTAAAATTTAAAATCAATTCATTAAAATGATTTCACCTACAGAGTTTAAAAAATACTACCAATAGCATCTTCAAGTGAAAAACTTATACAATAGACACAGAAGTTATTCTCTATTTCAAATGATATGGAATTCTAGTTGTAAATACAAGGGAAAGTTACACATGAGCAAAAAAATCAGATTTTATCAACTGATCAGAATTATTCTTTAGCACAATAATAAAATTAGGTATACATTCAGTGCTTCTACACTCTCAAGGTGTTCCACTCCCAGTCACATAGTATTTGCAAGTAACCAATCTCCTTCCAAGCTGAATGTAGTAGCACATGCCTGTAACCCAGCTACTTGGGAAATTAAGGGAGAAAGACAGCAAATGTGAGGCCAGATATGGATACTTACTAAGTAAGACTCTCTCTTAAAATAAAAAGAGGCTAGAGAGAGGGGATGGGAATAGGAAAGACGGTAGAATGAATCGCACTTTCCTATGTTCATACATAAATACACAACCAGTGTAATTCACCATCAGGTACAACCACAAGAATGGGAAGTTATACTCCATGTATGTACGATATGTCAAAACACACTCTACTGTCATGTATATCTAACAACAACAACAACAAAAAGAGGCTAGGTATAGCTCAGTGGTAGTGTACCCAAGGGTTCTATTCCCAGTACTGGGGGGGGGGGGGGCACACAACCAAAACATAACAAAGAAACACTTGTGTGTTATATAAAATATAAAAAATTATTATTGGACAACAGAGAAATGCCTTCGTATTTTAAAATCTATAAAATCTGCTAATGAACCATAACCGAATATGCTGTAGTTTTCTTAATGCATTCTTTCATAAATGTACTTACACTTTCACACATGAAGACACAAAATAATTCTCACTTCTCTTCAAACCAGATTGTACAAAACATGTACTACAATTTAAATTAACAGAATAAGACAATAATCTGTAATGTTAAGTCTGTAGTAGAAGAAATTACTCTAGGCCTTCTCTTTAACATACCTGGACTGAGGAGAAATAAGTGAGATAGATACTCTTAAAATCCTTTCACAGACTTTTCTCAAAGGCATGCAAGAAATAGATTAATAAATAGAAAGCAAAACAAAAAGTCAACAGCTCTATGCAAACTGCCAAACTGGTCCACTTATAAAGTAACACCCCAGGCATTATTGGCTGCAAAAAGCTGCCCTTACCCCTTATACTAAATAACAGTATGGACTTTGTATTTTTCTTTTTTTACTTTTGAGATTGTGCAGGGGGCTGTCTTACTGTTACACAAACTGCCCTCAAACTCAGGATCCTTCTGCCTCAGCCTCCCAAGTAACTAGGATTATAGGTGTGCTCCACCTTGACCAGTAAAAATAGTAAAAATATTACTATTTTTTAGAATAATACCTAATTTTTATCATTTTTTTCTCTTTACCACCTGTGATTTCTTGTTACTCTAAGCATTTCTATTTTTTCTCAATCTATATTTTATCTTAACCAAAAGGCCAAGTAGCAATCTACTTTTCTCAATCTAATGGGCAATGCAAATTCCAGTATGTTCAAATTATACAAAATAAAAGGCTTCTAAGTGAGAATCTGAGGGATTTCTTATTTCAGCAAATTATGTGAACTTTAACATACTAACTTTATGATACCTATTTTTGCCACTTAACCAGATTTTATTTGCTCACTTGATGATCTTGGTTGCATTCAAAACAGTATCATTTTATCCTCCCCAAAACTCTATGAAGTGGTATTATTACTATTCTAATTCTACAATTGAGGAAACAGAGTTACCAGAGGATATTAAACAACATGTCCAGAGCTGAAGTGGTAGAATATGGCAGAGGATTATCTCGATTCTAATACTGACAATTTGATGCCCATGTTTGTGTTCATAAATGCATTATGGCAATGTGTAAATAACAGTTTGCTGAGTACCCTTTACTTTAGTACCTTTGGCAATTCTCTGGAGAAACAAGAGTGAGGAGTAACTACATCAACCAGTTGATACCTAGGTGATCAGAATTCCTAATTTCTCCCCTTTCATATCTTTAAAAGCTGTTCTAAGAGACATGACTAAGCCATGAGTGGAAAGCCAGAGAAACACCACTGAGTAAACAAATGCTGATCAGAAGTTTTCAGGGGTTTAGCTCTTTGGGGCAGGGGGTACTGGAATTCATGGGTGCCTTATGACTAAACAATATCCCCAGCCCTTTCTTACTTTGAGACAGAGGAAATTGCTGAGGCTGACCTTTAACCTGCGACCTTCCTAACTCAGCCTGTCTAGTGGTACATGCCTGGAAATACAGGCATGTGCCACTGTGCCAAGATTCAGAGGTCCAGTCTTAGGTAAGATTATAGCATGCCTATCCTATTCTGAATCGAAACCCTAGACTTTCCATTGCCATTTGAAGTATTTACCAAAGATATTTAAGACTGTTCCTTCTGAGATGAAGTCCCAAATAATCTTTGACTACTTATAGAATACTTGGGTATAGTGGTTTTCAACAAATATTCCTTGAGTATATGTAGGTTAGGTCTTCTCTGTTCCCTGCTGACATAACAAAATATTGGCCTGACTCCCAATTATCCCTTGAGTTCCTTGAAAGCAAATAAAATATCTTATGATTTTTACATTCTCAATAGTTGGCCCCTTCCTGACACATGAATGGCTGTAACTATACATTCAGTAAACAAATGAGTATGAAGCAATGTGTTTAACAAAAGCAGTATCAATTAAATTTTGCTCCTTTTTAGACTGTATGTACATTTTTTAAAGGTCTGTATATTCTTTAATAAATTTTAAAATTCTATTGTATTTCTTTGACTCAACTCATTAACTATTTTCCTACTAAAGCAGATATGACAGGTGTTTTTTAAAAAAAAAATTTTACAGAAAGAGACCTTAGGTGCACACTAATGATAATAATAAAACTAAACCAGATCCAGATTTAAAGGATTTCCCTAATCAATGCCTGGTTCACTCTTGAAAATCACAATTTTATGTGATCAAAGAAATAATACTCTGTATTTTTAAAACACCACATATTTTTATAGATGGGTAATATGTAGACATATTCTAGTTATGAGAAATGCTGAAAAGCACTAAGACTTCAACTGTTTCTGAGCGTATAAAGATCTTGTGGATTCAGGAAACATGGCTATATCATTTAAATTTGTGTTGCACCAAAGAATTCAGTGAATGAAGCACTAGGGTAAGTGCTCATGAACATCATTTCATTTAACCATCAAAATTACTCCTTCAGGAACATTATTACTGCCACTATTTTACAGATGAGGAGGACACACATCTAGTTAATAAGTACAGGAATCACAACTGATATCCATACAGTTCTAATATAACATCCATGCTAGTAACTACGCACAATTCTATCTTACAGTACACCCTCAGCAAAGCAACTCTTAAATTTTCTCACTCATAACCACCTAACTAATATTGAAACAAAATACCATATTTGTTTCTAACTCTATCACTGAGAAAATCGTTCACCTTCTTAAGTTCCAAACATTCCCCCATCTTGACCACTGAGGGCTGTTTATAACTGACATTTCGTTTTCTGAAAATTGTATTTCCCCCCCACATACCATAAAAATACTGCTGGCATCCACAGCTGTGTTCTGTATAAAACTTGTCACAGCTGTCAGTGGCAGTGGTCATGATCTTAGGTGACTGGAGTTTTGGAAGACTAGAACTCTCAAACACAGGTTGTAAATATTTATGTAATATTCACCACACCAAATGCTGAATAAAACCATCTGGGAAAAACAAGGAAGTTATGTGATTAAATGTGTTAAGTATCTATCTAAATGGAACAGCTATTTGAAAAGATCAATTTTATGCTATTTTTGTTCAAAAAGGGTAAGGAAGCCATTTTCCAGATTTTATTTGTTTACAAGCCAAGTGGCTAAACATCAAAACTGAAAGAACCAAACTGTCTTCTGTTTTTCTCAACACTGAAAGATAATCAGGCAAAAGACCTGTATTCAAATGACGTTACAAATTATTTAAATGTTTTTTTTTTCCTTTTCTGACTTACTTCCACCCAAAACCTCAATAAATTTTGAACCATGGGTCATGAATGGTGAAGTCAACCAAGGATGTTTTTATTCTAGTCTCTCTCTCAAGGAAGAAAGGAAAACTGAAGCAACATACCAAGACTTTTACTGAATACACTGCAAGTCTTCCTTCTCCCTTGACCTCCATATTCAATCAATGGACAAGTTCTACTGACCGTCATACCTAAATATCTCTTTAACCTGGGTTAATTCTCCCTATCCCTAATGTCACTGCTCCAGGTTAAACCAACACATACAAATCCCTATATTGTGGTAACAGGCCATCTCTCTGTCTTAGCTTCCTTTCCATCACTCCTCACCTTGCATCCAGAATGACCGTTTAAAAATAATTCCCTGCTTAGCTATCCCCCTCAATAAAAACCATTCAACGACTCCCCAATATTTTTATGATAACAATCAACCTCTTAACATGGTTTACAAGACTTGTTTTATCCTGGCTCTGGTCAATTTTCTCCACTCTTACCTTCTGTCACTTCTGTCCTTGTATACCATTTAGCCATAGTGGGCATCTTTCAGCTTTTCAAACTTTCCATATCTGTTTTGCAGGGTTTTTGTTTGTTTGTTTTACATATTAGCCACCACATGGTCTCTTCCTTCTACCTATTTTACTTTCCTACAACTTCCCATCTTTACTAATCTCCTCTATTCTCTCTCTCACAAATTTCCTGAGAAAATCAACTTAGGAAAGATTTTATTTTTGGCTGGTGATTTCACACCATGATTACTTGGTCCTGTCACTTTGGGCCTTTGGTGAGGTATAACATTACCCAGTGAAGAGTGCAAGGTGGAGCAGGTGCTGCTTATCTCACAGCTGCCAGGAACTGGGGAGGGAAGAAATCGAAAAAATGGACCCTTCAGGGATATACCACCAGTGATCAACACCTTCCAGTTAGTAGCCACCTCCCAAAGCACCAACTGGGCACCAACTATTAACACCTGAGTCTATGGAGGACATTCCAGATCCAAACCATAACATTAATTATTTAAGATTATATATACTCTTCTATATACTCCTATTGCAGTTCTTATCAATACTTTGGTAAAATTAGTAAATTACTTAACTATTTAATCTTCTGCACTACTAAACGAATGAATGAATGAATGGTGGGTGGATAACGTGCAAAATCACAAAATTTCCAAAACCCTTACTTTCTTGCTGGGTTCAGGAAATTTTGTGATTTTTACACATTTCATAGCAATATACCTAAAATTTTAAGGGCAAACAACTACCTCAAATTTAAGGAAAGACAAGACTTCTCAAAGGAAAGATGAGACATGAGGACACTTCCTTACCTATAGTAAACAATGGATATCATACAAGTCAGTCAGAAGAATTTTAATCAAAATTAAAATTATTTTAAAATTACTACAGGCCAAACATGGGCTACTATGACAATATAAAACCCTTGGTAACCACAGAAACAATAGGATTCTCACTCACCCATAGGAATCTTCTCCAAAGACCTCAATGCAGGCTGAAAAAAAAACGACTAGGGTACATTTGGAAGAGAATGGAAGCTCCTTTGGGAAAAATACCAAAACCTACCTGGATTCTTCTTGCCCACCTCTCCTATAGGAAAAGTCTTAAGTGGTAAGGGGAAAAAGGCAGTCAATGCTATTGCTCTCAGGAAAAACGCAAAGACCTACTGTAGTTGATTAAGGGAAATGAAACAAAACCAACCAAACCAAAGTCCTCTACCCTTAAAGAACCACTGAAAAAGTTCCAAGTGAGTTCCAAGGGAAAGTAAGACACCTACCTAAAATGAAGACTGAACCATACCAATGGTATCAACAAACACCTACTTGGGAGAAGAGCTAGCGCATGGAGAAATACCCTCTTTAAGATGCAAGTTCAGCAGGAAGACATAAAGGTGAGGGTAGAGGAGACATTAAGAAAATCCCTCTGGCAGGGTGAAGGTACAGTAGTCAGAAATATGCTTGCCTAGCATGTGTAAGCTCTCTAGTCAAACTCCAGCATACACACACCTGCACCCCTTAGTGATTCACCAGAACCTACAAGATATAAAATAAGGAATTTAAAGTTCGCCATGACTTGGTGTCAATGTACTGTTTCAATCAGATTCCTGCTACTCACAAATAAAATTCTCCATTCCAGGCAGGATGGCCTCCCAGCCTCTTTCATTCAACATCTGAACTATCCCCCTAGAATTATCTCATTTTAAACAGCCCTAGTTTCTATTAATTCAAAAGACGTATATCAAATTTGGCTTTTTCCTATAACCATTTGAAGGTACACTGCTTTCATCCTTCTGTGAATTCATATACATTCATTATCTGTGGTATTCATGTCATTAGATACTACCTTATACTGTTGTTTAAGTGTTGCATTTATAGCCAGGCATGATGATGATGCACACCTATGGTCCCAGCTACTCAGGATGCTGATGTAGAAAAGATCAATTGAGTCCAGTAATTCAGGGTTAATCTGGGAAAAACAGAAATACAACCCCACCTTAAAAAAAAAAAAAGTTGCATTTATGAATATTATCTCATACTGTATACGTTTCTTGAAAACAGACATAATTCCTCATGTGCTCCTTGTATCCTTGTGAACACAATTACTAAATATATACTCAGAGAAACAAATTAATGCAAAAATTAATTCAACAAATCTCTGGAAAGTTCATACTTTGAGAAATTGAGGCAAATGGCATTGGTTTTTGCTGAGATCTGCAGCTACATTAAACTTATCTTCCAATTTCTGAAGTTGAAATTAGTATCTGACACATGGAAAACAATAAAATAGCTAAATATTTAACTAAATTTCATCTTCTAAGGCCACAAAAAAAATGAAACCCTAGAGTTCTATTCCAGTCCTCCTCAGATTATACCAATATCTTGAAATAGTCTACATTCTATTTGTTCATTTTCTCCCTGAATAGACTACAAATATCAAAGACAAAAGTTGTACTGTCTCCTCTTTTTAAAGCCTGCAACATAACTATCACAGCACTAAGTACAGACATAGTAAGAAGACAATATTCCTCCCAAAATTTTAAAGGTAACATAAACGCAGCTCTTATATACTTATCTGCCCCATGTAAAAACATGTTAGTTACTCTTCCTACTGGAAAGATTTATTTTTCATCATCTTTGGCTCAAATTCTTAAATGCTATCTGCCAGGTCTCATGCCCCAATAAATATGCATCCACAAGCAATTATGGAGATAGATAGCTTATGGGGAGGGGGCACTCTTTGGTCAGGTCCCAATGCTGGCCTGTGGTTAGGGGAAAGGAAAAATGGGGGGAGGGGTATAGCCCTGTGATTAATCACTGCCCACTCTGCTTAGGGGTATTTATCACAGCCCACTGTCAGGTAAATCACTGGAAAAACACCTCTTCAGTAATTAATGTGAAGTGACGGATGGACAGCCCCTGGGCCCATTAATCAGGAACATCAGCAGCCTACTGAGATTATGAATGTCAGGATGCATAAACTGCCGGTGGATCAATAGGCCCAGGAATTCATCCAAGGCTCTCATTTCCGAGGCATCTCCGGTACATTAGGCTCCCTTAACCCCTCCCTCAATCTGAGGTGAAAACCAAGGCTTCAGAACAAAGAGCAGGAGCTGAGGTCTGAAGTGACCATTGTAAGAAAACAGTCAAGGAAGCTGTTCATGCCTAGGAAAGATACCAGGATAGTCAACATGAGTACAAAGTGCTATTTTGACCAACAGGGTCTCTCAAAATGTTCAGTTATAGGAAAAGTAGAGGAACCATAAAGATATAGTTAATATTCATCTATTCACAGCTTGATAATCCACTTTAGGGATCACCTAGGTTCTTGCTTTTAATCTTTTACCCATTTTCCTATCCATACTTTCTTTCCTTTCACATTAGCACCATTAATGTAGAAAGAAATAAGGATGAAAATTCAATTTTTACTACGTATGAATATAGGCAGAAATTTTAATTTAAGAATAAAAAAAACTTGTATAAAATAAAATCAATGAATTATCTTTGAATTTAATTCAACATCATCCTTATTACCATGATGAATAGGGAATTGCCAGCAGAAATATCTACAAGTATTAAAAAAATATTAACATCAAAAAGGTCTGCTCAACTTGTTAAACAGTCTGGAGTTGAAAGAGAGTTACTGTCTACTCATCATCAAAAGTTTAGCCAAATTTTTGTATGGGAAGTAAGGCTGGCCAATGGCTTCATATTGAATACACTCTAGGCTGGCAGTGACGGGAAGGAGACTGCTTGCTGCCACATCCCGCCAAACCCCAGTGCTGTGCTTTGTGGTGAGACTCAGGCCAGGGCTGCAATTGTTGGTTAGAAAGTGTCTCAGAGTTACGGCTGCCTGTTCCGCTAAATCTCATTTCATCCTACTGATGGATGGATGGACAGATGGCTGCTTGGTGAAAGCAGCATTATCAGCCAGCTTCTATGGGGCCTCTAAATGATGGATAGCCCTCTTTCTACTTTCTCCAAACCACCATCGATCCAAGCCATATTTCAGCGGTCAGAAGCCCAGTAATATTAAGACACACAATCAGGTTAAGTTACTTGCAGTGTAAACCTCTAAAACAGAAATCCTAACACCTCTGCTTTGCTGTCATGAACTAGGCTAAACATGTTACAGTTTCATTCTTTCTAGCTGTTAACACAATGAATTCCAACAGCTTAAAGCCCAAAGGGAACAGCTGGGCTCCATTCCTAGCAGTACTTGAAAAGCTAGCTTGTTTGCCAAATTTTTTAGTAGCCAGTTCGTTTCTGGGAATGAACTCTACAGTACTGGTGAGCAGATCTGTGAGTATGTGTATCCAGTGGAGTGTGATGCTATTAGAATCATCAAACCACCTCGAGTTTGCCAGTGATATATCACTGTCCTCAAACATGTATAGAGTCCTGTCTACCAACACCAAGGATGGTGATTAAAAACAGGACAATTAAATTCTATCAACTGGCCCAGCCTGGTGTTGTATACCGGTAATCCCAGCAGCTCAGGAGGCTGAGACAGGAGGACCCCAATTTCAAAGCCAGCCTAAGCAACTTGGCGAGACCCTGTCTCTAATAAAATATTAAAAAGGGCTGAGGATGTGGCTTAGTGGTAAAGCGCTCCTGGGTTCAATCCTTGGTACAAAAAAGGAAAAAAAAAATCTGTCTTCTATACAGAATGCTAAAATCCTGTTTCTATCTAGTTCACTTTTACTTTCCTGAGTACATATCAAAGTGTAAGTACTAATCCTTGCCTACTTTCCAAAGCACATTCTTATGTCCATTTGCTTTGCCTTCTTCTAGTCATCTCATCTGTATTAGACTCCATGCCTTTCTTTGTTCCTTCGATGCTATCCTGAGCTCTCAGACAACTTAGACTCTATCAAAGTTATTTCCATTGGTGTGGCTAGAAGAAATGGATACTGTGATATGAACTCCTAGTACCCACATACTCTTTTTCTATGCTCACTTATTCCCAAATTAAGACCTCCTCTAAATGCTTCCTTATCTCCTACATCCCAATCAGGTCAGCTTGGTTCCTAGTATTGACCAACTCTTTTTTTTTTTTAATTTGTTTTAATTAGTTATACATGACAGTAGAATGAAGTCTGGCACATCACACATAAATGGAGTTTAACTTCTCATTCTTCTGGTTTTACATAATGTAGAATCACACCAGTCGTGCAGTCATATATGCACATATGGTAATATCGTCCAATTCATTCTACTATCCTTCCTAGCACCATATCCCCTCCCCTCCCTTCATTCCTCTCTGCCTAATTCAAAGAAACTCTATTCTTACCTAGCCACCCCCCTTATTGTGAATTAGCATCCACATATCAGAGAAAACATTCTCTTGACTAAACTACTGCTACCCTAAACCTATAAGTAGAGAACCTTTATATTTTTGGGGTAAGAAAAATGATTCAATGAAATAGCAACAGTCTTTCTTCTTGTTGTTAATAAATGTTAATGTTTTAACATTTATGCCTTAACAACATCTGTATCTGTTTCTGTCAAAACAGAAATAATATGCTATGTTTAAAAGATCCTTCTTTAGCAGGGCCCAGTGGTTCATGCTTGTAATCCCAGTGACTCAGGAGACTGAGGCAGGAAGATCACAAGTTTGAGGCCAGCCTGGGCAACTTAATGAGACATTGTCTCACAATAAAAAATAAAAAAGGCTGGGATGTAGCTCAGTGGTACAGCAGCCCTGGGTTCAATCCCCATTACTGCAAAAATGAGTGGAGGTGGGGGGAGTAACCATTTTTTTTATTATAGTTCTGTATTTAAGAAAAAGACTTCCCCTTATAAATATCAAAGAATTTTTTGCAGTATCTGTAGACTACTAGAAGGGATAGTATAGGCCACAACATCCTAATTTTTCAGATAAGAATACCAAGGATCCAAGGTTTTACTCTTCATGGTTACAAAGATATTAAATGGCAAACCCGCAAAGCAAGCTGAAATTTAAGATTACAATTACAAATACTGTCTCATTCTACTGTATTTCTCAGACATTTTGTCTTTATCCTGGGATTTCAGAGAGGGTGGATAATGATAGTTGAGAAGTGCTTATGTGTTTATATGCGTGAGAAGAGTGCTACAAATAATTAAATGTGGTCACCTAAACTACTGAGCTTCCCACTGAAGTTGCACATAGGTTATCTGATAGTCATTCACCATCTTAGAGAACAAAACCAGATGTCAGTGAAGCCCGGATCATTAGAAACCACTACTCTTCTCTTTTCCTTTATTTGCCCCAGTCCTATCCAGAAGGTTGAAAAAGAAAAGGGAAAAAAAAAAAAGATACTGAATGCAAGTAGTATTGACTTAGCCTAAATGGACAGGGAAGCAATGTGTCCTCTTCATTTCCAAGAATGCCAAACTCTGGTCAACAATACAACACAAGATGACTGACTGGATTTCACCCTCTGGTGGCCAGAACGTGTCACTGCTACATTTCCTCATTCCCAACCTACCTCCATTCAGATTTTACAGTCTTATGGCTAAGAACCTTCAAAAATCATGCTGTATCACCTCCTCATCTTAAAGATGAGAAAACTGGTTGGGGAGTGTATCTAAGACTTACACTTATTTGACTGGAAACTGAGACCTGAATCCAGATCACCTATCTAAACTAAATCAGTAATGTTGTCACCATTATAGCTATATCATTCAGTTTTCTACCCAGTATATCATCAGGATATATGCTGAGTAAAGTTTAATCAGAAAGTTAATTGTGCTGCAAAAATAATCACATAATGCACATCAAATTCAAATATATTATCCACACTAATGCTCATCTCCATTAGTGTAAATGATCAGGATGACTTTTCCATCTCATTCCCACAAAAATATGTTTCATACACTGGACAAAACCTCTACCACAACTATTGTTAGCACCAGAAGAAAATCATTTCTCGGGGCTGGGATTATGGCTCAGTGGTAGAGTACTTGCCTAGCACGGGCGGGACCCGGGTTTGATTCTCAGCACCACATAAAAAATAAAAAATAAAGGCATTGTGTTGTGTCCATCTACAAAAAAGATTCCCTCCCCTCCACCTTTAAAAAAAAAAAAAAAAGCAATGACTGTTTTGAAGTCTTATTTCAATATAATCCATAAGAGTTCACAGAAAGGCTGTTTTATTTGCATTAACCAAATACATTTTAGAATAATCAATTTTTATATTCATTTGCACAGCTATCTTAAATCAATACAAAGATCCCTAACTTTCATTTAGAAAAGCTATTTTGAGATTCTAGTTTGGTTAAGAAAGGACTATTAACCCATGCCTAAAAGAATAATAACATAGTTTTCAAAATCTGTTCTTGTGAACCATGTCCAGTTATATATATATATATATATATTTTTTTTTTTGGTTCATTAAGGTTTAAGCCCTACAAACAGAAGTCAAATAGTAGTAGAATAGTACCAATAAGAGTAGTAGAAGGAAAATAAAAAGTAATAATCAGCTAATATTTAATGAATGCTTACTATGTCACAGGGACTGTGCTAAATACCATATATATACTATCTCATTTGATTCCAACTAAATATTATGAGGTAACTAGTATTATCCCAATTTTACAGATGAGAATTAGGAAGCTTAAATAACTCAAGATCACCCAGCTTCTTCTAAGTGGGTGATCTTTTGTTAGGATTTCAAAAAGTCCCCACACTTAACTACTATGCTAGAATGCCTGATGGTCTAACATAGTACATTCTGTCTCACAATAATGTATTAATTTCATAAATATTTGCAATTCGCTTAGAATCTGTGTAAACGTAAAGCAACTGAAGAGAGCTCAAAGATTGCTTCAGTAAAATGAGAAAACCAACCAGAATAAGAATGAAAGAACTTTAAAGCTTTCATAGCATATCAATTTCCAATAACCTTCTAGACTTAAAGTGCTGACAATAATAATTCACTATCGTCTCTGAAACTTCCTCATTCACCTTGCCTCACCTCAAAGCCATATGGTAAAGAACCTCACCAGGTGTCAGGAAAGGATCTCCCTCTCTACTATTCCCCAAGAGAATAATTTATATACTTCTTCCCTGCAACTTCCCCAAGCATTTGAAATCATCTAGAGGCACATGTGAACATGGGAATAACAACCAGTGGAACTGACAGCACAGTTCTTAGAGTAATGGAAACCTTAAAGTACAATATATACTTTCAAATCTAAGTCTTAGAAGACATTTGTATATCAAATACCAACTGCAAATGGTATTTTTTACATGCAATATTATACAGAAAAATTATAGTATTAAATATTAGCTTTCCTTGAGCATTTATAACCTTTGTGCCTCTGCATGCAGTTGGACAAAAAATGTAGCCTACACAATGGGAAGAAACATTTCATGAAAAATATGAGTATCTGGACAAGATAATCATATTATATCTAAGTATAATATGAGTGTATAAAGGATACACAATTCCAGGAGGATCTTGGGAGCCCTAAAATACACAAATTATAGCATTAAAAAGTTATTCTCAAAACATAACACAATTAATACCCCAAACTTGTTTTACACTCAACTGGCTATATATAGTCACCATGAATTAACACCAACTGATTTCACACTTTATAGGCTAGGAAACAGGTTGCAGCTTAATCTCTTTCACACTCCAATGACATGGGAACCTCATGGTTCACCAAGTTGACTATTCCATGTTTAATGTTAGCACCTACTATTGATTACCACTAAAGGCAGTAAGATCAAAGCCTTAATATAACTGAACAATAGCAATATAATATATAATAAAAAGGTATAGGGAAAAGCCTGCTTTCTGCTCTGTGTGTGTGTGTGTGTGTGTGTACCTGCTGGTAGGGATCAAAGAAAAAAACCTGCTAAAACTTCTTCCCCTAACTAAACATCGGAAGGATAGTCTGTATTTTAGAGTTATTTGAAATTAGTTTCTCTCCTGGGCCTGTCCTGAGTTAAACTGACAGACTATAGTTGAAAATAAAGGAGATCAAATGGATAAGGCCTTGGGGACTATACCTCAACCAAGATATACATTACTATTTGATTTTTTTCCTCTCTTTAAGATGCAGACTAAAGCTAATAAACCACTGAGAAAATTTTAAAAGTTAAAGACTATTACACTTAATCTGTGCTTAGTGTCTACACACATACACGTATGTATGTGTATATATGTATATTATCTTGTTTGATCCCAAGTATAATACTAAGGGGTATCTATTATTATTCCAATTTCACAGATGAGAAAACTGAAAATTATATTACTTAAGATCCCAGAGCTTCCAAATGTTAATTAACTGTTAAAAGTCCCTGATATAACTACTACATTAGACTAGAATGCATACCTTCTAAAAACTATGAAGTAAAACAGTAGCAGAGAATATTAAACTCCAAAGTGAACTAGCAACAAAAAGGAATAACTATAAAGGAGGTAGAGTCTATATATCAGCAATATGTTTCCCAGTGAAAAATAAACCAAAAAAGCAAGTTTCACTTCAAGGCAGGCAGAGAAAACATTAGGAAGTTAATGAATAATAGCTTCTATAGTTTGAAATTTGCTAATTAAGAGTTTCAATAAAAATTACCTTAGAATAAATAACATTTTCAGAGCTATGTTACTTTAAGAATCAGCAAGCCTATATAGCAGACTGCAAAAGGCTTTCAAAGAAGTTATGATCTACTGCTCAAACTTTTAAATTGCTTTCTAGTCTATTATTCTTATGACTCCAAAAGAAAGATAAATGTTAAATATTGATATGAGCTAATAATATGTAATGGCTTTTTCTCACATCAAACAATACATGAATAAAAATGAAGTTTTCCCACTTAAGATATCTCTATCTAAATGAAAAGATAATTTAAAAACAGAAAGGTAGTAGTAGTTGTTGTTGTTATTGTAACTGCCAAGTAAACAAGAAAAACAGTAAATGACAGAAACCCAGAGGACAGAGATATCACTAAAGGTCTGAAATGGTTAAGGAAAATGTGATGAAGCAATGGTATTGAGGCCAGAACTACAGAAGCTGACATTCAGACAGAATTGATGTAGAAAAAAGAGGCTGAATATGTGAAGAAGCAGTAAGTTAGAAAGCATTATTTTGAAAATAGTTAATACAAATTTTTATTTCAGTTCAAGATGTTATCAAAAAGTATCAAAGAGTATGTAGCTTATCAACAACAGAAATTTCTCACAGTTGTAGCAGCTGGTGGTTAA